ACAAACTCTGATCAACATTCCCTTCACAAGAATGAAAGGGGGGAGAACGACAGTTGGAGTGTGAAGGTTCTATGTCGCTCAAAGTAGCACACCACACTATGTCTAAATAAACACGGTAAACAATTGTAATAGTGAAGACATGATATGATGCTACCGGAAACGCGAATAACCCAGAACAGAAGGAAAGATACCACAATTGCTTAGCACACGTTTGGTCAAAGGATCGGCTTCACTTGTCTATTTGAGGAGTTATTGTATGGTGCTAAGAATGGAGATACTCATTGACGATGCCGGCGAAACGTTTGGGAATGTACCACGTCCATGGTTCAAATTTGGAAATGATCATGCAGACAATGGACTCCAGGCTAGGTGAGTTCCTCTAAGTCTTCCTACCGTGTTGCGAAAACAAAGTCAAACAACCTCTAAAGAATTCATCATTAATCTGATAATTTTTCTATTATAATGCATTTCCTTTAGCAAATTCTTCAGTGTCCTGTTGATCTTCATGGTTGGATCATTCCTTAGTATTTGATAAGTGTTCTGGTCGCCTAGGATACTTTCCATTTTCTCCATGTACTGTTCCCCGTCCATTACAGCCGTCGCTCCTCTCTTATCCACCTGAAGAACTATTTGATCATTCTTTTGTAATTTCTTACGTATACCAGTCAGTCTGCTCAAGTCTATCGGTTCTTAATGTGCCAGGATCCGTATTATTATTTCCATTTCCATCTCCCACTTTGTCGTCCCTGGATATTTATCCGTTATGTTGACAATTCCACAATAATATTTCTAAAAATGTTTCCTTCGTTACCTAGAAAAAGAATTAACCACTTTAAGAGATCTATGGTCTAAGAATCAACAGGGATGGATGATAGGTTAATCACCTTAGCCCTATCGCCATTTGTAGCAGTTGATACCTTCAATACAGAACCATCACAATTTGCCCGGGTTGGCTTGGTCTTGCGCCCGGGTCCCATAACCAAGCAATTTATCGTCATTCAGCTTATTTATCCGATCCCGGACCCTCTGTTACTTCTAGTCGGTCATGCTCTGGAGTTTTTGAAAATCATCCAGTGATAACCCTACCTAGATCCTTCCTTAATCTATACTTGAGATCTATGAACTTAAATAGCTAACACGTCTCAGTCTCGTAACTTTCCTCTAATATATGGATGGAGGCGTGATAAAGTATTTCATTAACTGTGTCCGAATGACACCTTCTCATTAGATTGCAGAATCGAGAAGCGATACCATAATGTTTGCAACAACCCAAAAATGCCAAATGGCAGGATTGACTTAAAATTGTCTTCTTTGCCAGGCTGTGATCGGTGCATTGTTTAGCAATCTTACTTCCACAGATTAATCGAAGGTAAGAAGACCAAAATGGTGTAGCCTTTTGTGTGGTCGCAGGCTCCTTTCGTTGTATAGAAGTTGTTTGACCTTGTTTTAGCAACTTGGTCACATTAGTAGGAACGCACCTAGTCCGGAGTCCATTGTATGCATGATTTCCAGTCGGACCGTGGTACATTCCCAGACGTGTCACCGACATCGCCAGCGAGAATTGTCAGTCTTAGCACCACACTACAACTCATCAGAGAAGAGTGAAGCCGGTCCTTTGACAATTGTCTGCCAGACAATCGTGGTCTCTCTTTCCACCTTGGGCTAACCACCAATCTTATATCCTCGTATCACGTCTTTACTATCACAATTTCTACTTACTAATTTAAATGTGGCATAGTGTGCCCTTTTGAGTGGATTTCATGGCAACTCTCCACAATCCACGCTGGCTTTCTCACCCCTTCACTTTTTTGCGCGGAATGTTGAACTTTGTTTGTCCTATTACGCAGTCGTCCTTCTATAGGCATTATCAGTCTCCCTTTTGTCCCCTAGGATCCTTCTGCTATCTCTCTGGTTCAAGTATTTCACTAGACCCTTGCCACCCCATCTGCACTACTCGAGGTGTTAGTTCCCACACTCTGCCTCTTGAAGACTAACTTGAGGCTGAAGCCCCTGAGTAACTCTCATGATCAAGCATTTGCTTCTTGGACCACGTCTATGGTAAAACAGGCCTATGGTCAGCCAACTAGCCCTAGTCTCCACGTCTATCCTGTTCCTATCCATAATACTATATCTATGATTTTCTATGTCATAGTCTCTTGTGTGCCAACCCACAAATGTTGTGGTTCGACATTCAACCTAATCAAAGCAAGCAGTACCACAACATTTGTGGGTTGGCACACATGAGACTAGAGCATAGGAACTCATAGACTTGGTAATACGATCAGACAAAAGAGCAAGCTGTGTCGAACTTTGTATTCAAAACTAGTTTTTTATTCACTCACCTCTGAAAAGTTGGGAAATCCAAAAAGCCCTTTTGTATTAAGACGAAATGTAAATTAATATATAAAGCCTACACTATTAATTGATTTTTAAATTTTTCGCCAACCTACATCCTGACCAAAATTGATGTCCGCCTGGCACCAACCAATCTGCATTACACCGGGGGTTAATAGGCGTGCTTCCCAAAGCCATCGACCAGCAAATACAGCCACGTTGGCCCGAGCTGTCCTAAAGGTGCGCCCCACAAGAATCGCGGTTAGCCGGCGCCTCTGAAGATGCCTGTTTTGCATACATTGTTGTCCAGATCCAGATCCAGGCTGGCATGACCACGACGGCTGTGGATTGCCTAGGCTCAACTCGCCACTCGAGGTAGCAACACAAGTTCTGGTTGGCTGATCGTATGTTCTGGGTTCCGGACTAGATTCCAACGAACTACCTCGTAAAGACGAGGTGTTATCTAAGGTCTGCATAGAATGGTGTTGGACTGATGTTTGTCGAGGCCTTAGCTTACTTAGGCGCTCATTAATAATGATCGTATCGCCAGTTAATTCCTTATCCTGCTTGGAATAATTTGTATTAGCAAAACCGCCCTCAGCATCTTCTTCTTCACACTCCTCATCATCCTTGTGAAAGTAGCTGACTAAACGTATCTGCTGTGTCTGCGTAACCAGAGCAACTTGATCAGGCCCGAGGCGACCATGGAATAAGCAATGTATTAGTCCCGAAGAGGTGGCTTTTGTTGACTCCCTTGATTTATCAATGTATTCTTGCTTGCAAGAACCAGGAATCGAAGAGTGAGCCAAGTCTGGGATAGGCTCGAATGAATTAAAGGTTGCCTCGTCAGAAAGCTGAGATAAGAGTCGTGGTAAAGTTGAAAGAGTGATCGGACTGTAATTAAATTGATGGATTGGAGGATGTTGGAAGAGGAAAGTAAAGAAGAAATAAAAGTATAGGACATAAAATTATGCAAGTATAAAAGAGAAGTAATAAAACTAACGGATTGAAGATGGATAAGAAAAGTGGCAATTTAGGGGAAGATACGAACAAATAGGATTCCAGACTTAAGGTTGAAACATATTGCGTGATTTGCAAGCAGAAAAATAACTCATAATTAGGTAGTCCAAAACAAATCATGGATCATATTTTTAATGCCAATATTACCCACATTAATGTTTTATGTGACGCATATAGACGGCAACGTTCACCCATTGCCTATGAAATATCCCAAGAAATAAATAAAAACGATGGGTTTCACTCGCTATAAAGAGATTAGTGAATACTATAGTTGGAAGTAAAACTATCTTCAGTGAGATTTAAAAGTAAAAAGTAAACACCCAATAATGTATTAACAAAATGCAAATGGACACGTCAGCCTGCAGCCTGAGTGCTCAGTATTCTATTCTGAAATCATCGCCTAGTACTAGTTTATCACAAAGTTGTAAATAATCAGCCAAATAATAAACCCAACGGTAAACTAAGGCAAAGAAATATATCCAGTAAAATAGCATGCATAAAGGCCTGTGGAAAAATGGACAACAAACGCACACTTCTTGCATTATAATTGTAACCCTCCCCTAATATAATTG